GGCACAATTCTTTGAATTTGCTTGTCGAGTGTCTGTTTTTATTTTATCAGCAGTTTAATAAAAAGCTATCATAAATCTCAGATTTTAATCTAAGTTGAAATCTGAATTTTTTTTGGGATGGTTTTTAGGTTATGCCCAATATTTTCAGATAATAGATCGAATATTGTTTAAAGTGAGAATCCAAGCACGAAATGTTTTATACTTGACTATCCTAACAATATATTTTTTTCAACAGGGATAGCTATGAAAAATCATACAGACGTTATGTGGTTTTTGTCTGTTCGTTATTCCTGCAGTTTTTTGTCATCGGAATGCCCTCTTCCATGTTGGGAATCATGTTTGTCGACATCATGAGAGAGTTCCGAGCGGAAGCTTCGGAAACAGCTCTGATGTTATCCTTATACCGGGGGCTGTCTTTTGGAGGATGTAAGTTCACATGCATTTGTTTGCTATACATATTGCTAAGTATGAAAACCCTCATTAAACCAATTTGCCCCTTCATGTACCATCCAATTTATGGCTGAATTCCCCGTGTGTGTGAGATTTTCTAAGCTTTCCAGTGAAATTTTGATTTAATAAAAACGAATTATTTATGATTGTTTTACGTCCCTCCAAAATTACGATATATAGACGACTTATTATCTATTAACAATAGTTACTTTCATTCAGCAGTCTCGTATAAAGTCATCATTTTGTAAGTTCTATGGTCGATACAATGATCTTGTCATCAATTTCAATTTATCATTGAGTCAAATGCTGACTGACGTTTTTCATACTAATTGTTAGTCCATTATTTATACTCTGAATTGACGACGGATTTTCCCGTTATTTCCCGAACATGACAAGGAGCACACGGCGGGTGTGACCGGTCAGCAGGGGATGCTCACTCCTCCATGGCACCTGATCCCACCTCTGATGTTTCGGAGGTCCGTGTTTGCTTTGCTCCTATTTTGTATTGTTTAATGGACTTTGATATTGAATGCTGTTCGTTATCTCCATGCCCTTCATTCATACGTCGAATCGATCAACCCCAGTGAGCTTAAAATAAAGGTACCACAGATTCTGACAAATCTGTTCATATTTAGATATTTTTTCAAAAAAAAAAGACGTTAATGATAACCTAACAACAAAGCTTTATGATAAACGTGATGACTTTATAACTTTTCAATCATCAACTTTCTTATATGGTAATATACGTACCTTTATCACTTGCTCATGATGTTTATATCTCTCATTTGATTCGATACACGACAGCATGCTTTATGTATGAACAATTTCTAAAAGCTCCATGTAGGAACAATTTCTAAAACAAGTCAAGCTATTGACAAACAAGTTCATGAAACAAGAATATCAACATGCACATCAACATTGTTTGAAGTCATTATTTTGCAAGTGTTATGGTCGAAACAGTGATCTTGTCAGCAGTACAATCTATCATTAAGTCAAATGCTGACTGATGTTTTTTAAATATTTTTTAGGCCATTATTTACACACTGAATTGTCTCCTCAGATTTTTTTCCCCGTATTTCCTGACTATCACAAGGAGCACACAGCGGGTGTGACTAGTTGGCAAAGTATGTGCACTCATCAATGGCACCTGATCCCACCTCTGATGTTTTTGGAAGTCCTTGTTACTCTGCTCTCGATCTATATTGTTTAATTGAAATTTGAACTTGAATACTGTTCGATCGTTATCATCATATATTTTAGCAAATTTACTCTAACTTGTATGATACGTTGCCTTTCTGAAACCCCAAAAATCCGATTTCTTGAAACTTAAAAGTTATGACACCTATTCTCCTATTCTCTGTTGCGTCATATGAGTAGAAAAAAAACATCTACAACTTTGAAGCCATTAAAAAATTGTTTGTTAATTCTATGGGGTTTATTTCTTGACAGGTATTGTAGGAAACCTGATAATGCGCTATTTTGGCGAGTTTCCTTGTATGATGGTCGGGTCTCTCATAGGAAGTTTCAGTTTTATTGTAGCCATGTTTGCCCAGAATGTCACTACAGTTGTTCTGCTTGTGGGTGTTGGAGCAGGTTTGTTCATACTAATTTTTCTTTGCCTTGGATTTCTTGACAAATTCTATTTAAATTTTTGATTTGACAGATCGGTTATATTTCACTATACATGTATTAATCAGAAGTATATATTTGATTCTGATAACTTTTAATTACATTAAATTTAATTAAGAAAGAATTTTTTTCAATTATTATCCTTCTAGGTTGCGGTTTTATGTTCCCTTTATTGCTGGGCTATAGCAATATTGGGAGGGCTTTCTCAGGAAAAGCTGCCACCCAGTTCCTCACGTTGACAGCAATAGGCGGGGGTATAGGACTCATCATCACTCCTTATATAACGGAGTTTCTGCTCAGAAGATATCAATGGAGAGGAACCTGTCTTATTTCTGGAGGAATATTCCTAAATCTATTGGTGATCGGTGTTCTGGTACAAATTAATCTTCCTGATGGTCCTAAGAAATCCAAAACTTTCAACTGGGAGGACCAAAAGGCCATTTTTAAAAGCAGATCATATTCAGTGATGTTGTTCAGCATGGTCTTATTTGGGTTATTTGGTAAGAGCACTTATTTAGTACATTCGTAAAGTATGTTTCTCCACTTCTTTTGTCTTTTAGGATTGATTGTATGTCATTTTACGCCCCATTCGAAAATTCTTCTCTTAAGAAGAGACTTCACCACCAGTGAAGGGCCTCAAATTCGGACCTATGCTCAGCACTTAGGGCCATAAATCAGTAAAGTTTCTATAACGTGCAAATGACTATCGTGGCATGGGACCTCGATCCTATAGTCTCACCTGAAAGACCCCTGACTTTTACCTCTAGTGCCGAACGCCCTTTGAAGGAAAACAAACTACTAATGTTTAGAATGTACAATGTGGCAAATTAGTATAGATCCCGGGCCTCTCGAAAAACGAAGCAAAATGAGAACTGAGAAGTACGCATCGCAAACTCTGTTCCTGTAAATCTGGTACAAGGTACCCTTCTGGACAAACCAGGGTTTGTATGACCCAGTCAGGGATCGAACTCGCGACCTGATTACTCAGTATTTGTTTGTTAATTGTTGATGGTCCCTTCGAGAATTTTCACTTACATTGAGACGCGACCATTTGTAAATGGTGGGCTGCCATCTTAGAATTGTACTCAGCACTTATGGCCTTTGAGCAGTAGACAGTCTCAATCGAAGGACCGGTCTCTTCGTCCCACAGTGAGATTCGAATCTTGCCGCATCTGTGACGCAAGGATCACTTTTTGCTAAGCGATTCTATACCAATCGATTTTACCCCTGCGCCACGTGGTTGAATGGACCTGATTATTACAGAAGTTGATTAATAATAATCAAAACCACGAATAAATATGAAGATTCTAATATGACCAAATTCTTAACATTTCCTGCATGATTCCTTCCAACAGGTTTTATTGAACCTTGGTTCCTACCTGATTTCCTTGCATCAAATGGTTACAACCAAAAAGACGCTGCTTTGTTAATGACAATAATTGGAGCCTGTAATCTAGTTGGGCGAATTCTGGCAGGTTTATTAGAACCTCTTTTAAGGTAATGAAAGTTAAAAAATGCAGTTTACGCCATTAAAGTATTTAGATAGGTAAACTATATGTATATAATTTTTTTGATTTCTGACAAAAATATTTTAGTCGAACAAAGTTGATGTACCACTGGATCTATATCTTCACTTTAATGGGACTCAGCCATGCTATATTTCCCTACTTCATCCACCTTACCCCCGCCCTGATCTTGGCCTCTGTGATGTACGGAATCACTTTTGGAATGGTGGTATCCCAGAGTGCCCCAGTGATTGTTCAGTCCCTCTCATCAAACCTCTACCCAACAGGACTGGCTACAGAGTTAACTATTTATGGAGGTTGTACTGTTCTCGGAGGATATGTCGGTGGTAAATTACTTTATAAATTTCACATTCATTATTACTGCATTTGTTTACAGACAAATTTGTCATCAATTTTGCTTATTTTGAGCTTCGTTTTTTATGTCACATCGAAAGAGGAAGGGAGAAAGTGATGTATTGTTATTGGTTCTCCATTTTCATTTCTGCAAGCGTGTTCGCGTTACTATTAATAAGATTTTATTCTTCTAATAAACAACTAGTGGTATATGTAAGTTCTTCGTAAAATGCATGAAATACTGATAATTCTTTTCATTGTAGGAATGATTCGTGACGTCACAGGCGGGTATGCGGGTGTTTTCTACATTGCCTCTCTGTCTGCCTTTGTTGTTGCCTTCAGTTGCGGAATATTGATGTCCGTGGAAAAATTGTGTAAACGGAAAACCAAACCCTGTGTTCACATTCCCTCTATATCAACTATTACACACCTTTAATTTATAAGCAACTCTTATGAAATCAAAGAAATTTTTAAGTTTCTGTTTTCTATTTTGAGTGAATATTAGTGTAATATTTCAAACCAAAATACATACCCCATTGGACTCAATATTTTGACCCATGTATATAACAACAAGATCTTGTTTTCAGCCATTGAGTTTTCTAAGGTTTCGATGCTGTTTGTTTTTACTATGGAGTAGGAAACCCCCGACAATTCCAACCATGAAAAGCATATTGAAGAAATTGAACAGTGGGTATTTAGGCAAATTTCCTTAAATTTTGGTAGATTTTTTGTGTAGGGCAAAGGTCTCCTATCTCTAAGCAGTCATATTAGGGGAAATCAAAAGAGAATAGTCTTCAACAGAATCAATGCATTAAGTCAAATGAATACAAGCTTTATTCCAAGAATCAAAAGCAAAAAAGATATAAATGACATTCAAAACATTCATAATTACAGTGTTTTTGTGACATTTTGAGTAGTCTCTCCTTGCACTGCAACCAGAAAAGAAGAGTACAAATGTAATTGTACATCACCAAACAAAAAAGTGACTCCACAAGATAACCAGCCAAAAGTTAAAACTTATTTAATCTACAAAGATTTTAAAATAATAATATATTTTTTCTTTCAAATAAATTGCCAATTGGCTTCAGTCATTTCACGCAATCCATTAAGGTATCCTGTCGTATGTGATGATTCTGGGTAACACTGATGTGAATTATATACGATAACTTCCCGGAAAATCTTACCATGAATGTCTGCTACGACTGAATCAAAGTGTTCATGTTGTTTGTTAATACACCCGTCAGTCAAACACGTCATACATGGAGGTAGCTTATACTTGTGAGGGCTAATGGCCACATAAATCTTACCGAGGAGCACGCGCACCAGAAACATTTTAAGCCCAACATTTTGTCGTTGATTTGATGTATCTAATTGTTAAAAGGATGCAATAATTTTCAGATAAAGCAACAACAAAAAGGAGAAATAAAATCTATTGACATTTGGAATACTTTAGTTTATGTCACTTTGATTAGAAAACAAAATGTAATTATTCTCAAATTTTTAAAAGCTATTTGTTACTGAGCATCCAAATTAATTTTGATTGTATATCAAGTTTTAATGCATGCCTGCATATTGATCGGATTTGGTTGAACTTTCTGCGCAGTAGTTTCCTCGTCCCATCATAGTACTCTCAGAGGCATGACGAGGGTCCATTCCTTTTTTCATGATGTTGTCCACGAGAGCAAGTTTTGTACCATGGAATAGCAGGTACTCGTTTAACTCTGGATATAACTCTTTCTTAAGTTCAACATTCATGTATCGCGAGGTAAGGATAGATCCTCTTGTACTTCTGTCCTCTAACTTCTCAAAAGGGCCCCTCCTGAGCAAACTCCCAATAATTTTCTTTCTTTCATGGACGTAGTTATCCCAGAGATCCACATTTTCGACTCTTTTAACATCTCGAACAACAATGGATTTGTAATTTATGTTGTGTGCATCAGCACCAATTCCAGCATATTTTGAATCCCAGGTACTTTCTGTTAGTATTTTCACAGCATCAAAGACTTGTTTGCTTACCTGCGTCGTTTCACAAGTTTCTTGAAGATTAAGATACTTCTTCACATCGTATCCTCCCTCAAACTTAACCCAATACATTGGTGTTGTGGAATGATCCAAAATTTCATCCCAAAATTCATTTGTCCCAATTGCATTTACTGGTCCGTGCCATTGTTGATCTTTAAAGAAAAGAATAGGGCAGAAGTCCAACAATTTTGATGATATTTTTCCGTACAGTAAATTTAAAATTTATCAAAGTTGTTTTTAAAACAATAAGACATATATATTCCAGAGATAATTATTATACTAGATCTACCTTATTGCATTGTTTAAAGATAATTTTTTTTTGAATGACTGATGTGAAGAAAGGTTTAACATCCATTAAAATGCCTGCCGCATGGAATTTTGAAATTTTTGGCTTGAGAAACTATTAAATGTTTTGGCCAATATTGTCACTCTTTTCTTTTTACTGAAACCCTATACATATATATGTACAGTATTATCCCGATAAAGATCAGCGGACCTTTTTCAACTTTTTTCTCATTTTTCTGTCAATAACATTTGGGATAAAATCTAATTCAACCATTTTAGGTAGAACATTAATTTATGATAACATTTTACAACAATTCATAAAATTGATGTTATGAATTATATCGAATTTCAAAATGTGTAATTGAAATAATTTAACGGTGAAATGGTAGAGATCTTCCGAGATCAAAATTTTAAAGTTGCAAAATGCCTTTGGATTTGACCAATATATCCAATTTACATTACTTATTTTTTTTTTAAAAATCATGATTTTAAATTAAAAGATACTTTCAACCGCTTGACATTAAGGGGGCAAAAAGCTTCAAACAAGAAACTAAATGTTGCTTGTTTTAATTAACAAAAACCAATATACGATATTTCATTTTATCAAAATAGGTTTTGTATAAAATAAAAATATATGATAAATGATTTGCTTTGATTTCATCTGATGAAATATGCTGGACAAAAGTTAGAAATCATTTATACACAAGAACAATATTTTCTATACGTTTGAATTTGTGTGAAATCAAGGGCTTCGGTTCGATTCTATACTTAAATAGTACGTGTATGATGAGTTTTGCGGCGCATTTTTTCCCAGATCTTAACCCATTTGAACATGCATTACACGTTCTTCATCAAAGCATTTCAGCTCGTCCAAAACCTCCCCAAAATCGACATAGGCTTCAGACAGGGTTGCGGTAAGAATCGCAAAAGATCACCCAGCTAGCTTTGTATGGCTGATGGGCAGAATGTATCGGCATTGCAGGGCCGTTATTGCCTTGCGGAGAGGTCACGCAAAATACTCACGATCATTTTCCTAACAAGATTCGACTCTTTTGAAACATTCTCATTTTCATGTCTACACCCAACACGGTGAATTTTAGAGTAACCGAAAGGAACAATTTGTTTCGTGTTTTCAACAAAACTTATCAATGCTTAATTGTCCAACTTTTAATATAGAATGTAATAACGTGGTACTTAAATTAAAGCTATATTTTTTTTCTATGATAAAGCATAAATTATTTAAAATATATTTAATTTGATGATCCTTAACTTTTTTTTGCCCAGTATAAGATATATGATAAAGCGATGAAAGCTAAAATTTTTAGTAAAAAATGGTTAATCAAAATTTTGAAAGTTGATGTTAAGCGCAGTGAAAGAGTTGATAAAAGTAGGGTTGAACTTACTTAAATCCAGTGGCTGAACTGCATCTTTACATACAAAAAAGGTTTATCAATAAAATATTCTTAATAATGTCTTTCAATATTGGATATATATCTTAATACATTCAATATATAAATAATATTAATACAGTAATACAATGTACTATAAAAGATTACTTGATAATTTCGTAACCTATACATATTAAAATTATAAAAATTAATACAATTGTAATAATAGTCTCATATCGTCTCATATCGATTACTTTAATTATTTACTGATTATTAACCTATAATACCTTCATTGTCCCTTTTTTCGGCATTAGTGTATAAATCCTCATACATCATGGTTGTGTTTTTAAAAGTCTTACTATATTAATTGTATATGTTTTGATTTACTTGTATTTTACTCATTCTCGATATGAAGCACAATATTGTATCCTTTAATTTCCGTCAATTATTTTTATCAGTAAAATCTTACTATTGCTAGTTGTGACGAGGAGAATAAAGCAAATGATATGAAGAATCCCTGCCACCATACAAGTTCCAAACGAAGATGACAATGTAGCTGTACTCATCCAAGTTGTTTTGTAATATTCCCCAACATAGATGAATCCACCAATGAAAACAGTAATCACTAAAACATTAGATATCAAAATTACCCCGCGTATCATTATATAATAAAACATTTTTTGGATTTTTTATATAGAATACGTTATAAATGTGCACTAGAATTCATGAAAAAAAGACATAAAAAACAAGTTGGCTTTAGAAGAGCGAGGGGTACAACAAGACAACTACATGTGAACCTTTTCTCGGAAACCGACATCTCGAATACCATTGATACGTCGAAATGATTTGGATATTCCAACCACTTATTCTTTAAGTATTTTACCCTCGACATGGAAAGCCTCCAAGCAAGACACAGAGAAGATTGACACCTTCCAGATGCCTCAGAAAAATCATGAGAGTAAGATGGCCTGAAAATGTTGAATAAAGAACTACATTAAAGAACAAAGAGAGCTAGTGCGAGTGATTACTCTCGAGAAGTGGAGTTGGATCAATCATGCATGGATGAAGAACACCAGGATTTGAACTACCGCACTGATACGGCATCCAGAAGGAAAGAGGAAAGAAGGCTGGTCGAAAACAACCAACTTTGAGAAGAACCACGGAACAACAGCTGGGATGGAATAGCTAGATGTCAGTGAGGACAACTGCTGAAAACAAAGGCAGGTGGAGGCAGTGTATCGGAGCTTTATGTGCCAGCAGGCACGAAGAGGATAGGTGAGAAATGTAATTATTTGTACATGTATATTCACATATTATTTCCAAATTTTACACCACTGTAATTTGTCCCCTGGTCCCCACTCAGGCTCCAGACAGACTCCCCAGCCCCCCAGAGGTCTTCTTGTACACACTCAGAGTACCTATGTTCTGGCAGAATACCAAAGTATCAAAGGTTTTACAATAGTTAACTACAGTTTGTTCTAAAGAGTTTAGCTTGGTGGAACAACATTGAAGTCTACATTAATATTTTACGTTTGGAGGGGTCAAGAGGGTCTTGATAAAGACTTTCAATTGATAGATTTTTGTCCGACCCCCTCCCCTCCCTCTGAATAATATAAACAAGCAGAGTATTTCCTAAATTTGTTTACACCTCTTTTGAGGGAGATTAAGCATAACGTCCTCTTACGGTTAACCCACCGTCCTTACGTCCTCTTACGTTAACACAATTTCCTCTAAATCACATTGAAAAACCTTGCTTTTGTTTTTCAAAATAATGTATAATGACAACTATATAGATCTAAAAGATCGCGCTAACTCAATGACTAATAATCCATTGATGCACTTAGAGTGCTTTAAATTTTATGGCGCTAGTCCTCGAACTTTTTGACAAACAGTAAACCCCTCGTACATATAGGTTAAAACATTTATAAATACCTGTGGCCATACTGGAAGATCCAGTAAATGTCTTCACTTTGATCTTCATGCTGACATCTGACACATCAAAAAATATAACGAAAGAAATCAGGGATATCATGGAAGTAATGAAACCAAAAATCTCGAACACTCTTGAAGCGGACAACCACACTGAAAATAAAAAATATTTATATTTAAAAATTAGTTTAAAACATGCAATGTTGCCGTACTGTAATTTCTAGAGTGGATATTATATCTAATACCTGGTACTCTTGGAATTTGGTAATTCTTGGCCATGAAATTATCTACTGTTTGACAACATTTGAAATCTGTAGTGGTGTAATTGCAGTACGTCCACAACCCTATTGTGCTGTTGGTAGTTTTTACCCAATCCTGGGTTCCCAGCGCCAACATCTGTAGTAGCCATGCCAGTATTACAAGAGGAAAACAGACCTTGTAAGATTTCTGCGAGGAGAAGTATTCCTCGACGAAATCCAATGTATGCTCAATTTTTTGTCCCATTTGCTCAATTCTTATCGTCAACCTGCAGAGGAATTTGCTTAATTGCATTGATTTAATTTAGTAAAATTATTATTATCATTTTTAATTTCAATTAACGAAAGTCTGTTATTTTTAATTTGAAAATGGCTTGTCACCTCTAGTATCTTTTTTTTGTATCTCTCAAGAGTACAACTACTCAACCGAGGTTGAAAATATATTGCTGAATTTGTGAGTGATGTAAGTTGTTTTTGTGAAAAAATCTATTAAATGTAATTAATTTCACATGCCAAAAATTCAGAACAAGTTTGAAGTCGATAAATATTACATGATTGCTGAAAAAAATCACAACTGACGCTCTAAATCAGATAAGGAGTTCCATAGTTTTTTTCACTCATTCATTAAAAAGACAAATATTTAATTAAATAAGACATAATCGTAATTAAAAAAAAATAACAAAAAATAAACTAAATAGATCTGTTTAAAAATTTATCAAAACGAAAAGAAGAAAACTTACCTCGTTCTTTTTTTTTTTTTACTATCGTTTGAAATCGATCTTGAGTTTACTTCCTTAATAGGAAATGGAAGCTACCTAATTTAAATGTCGATGACAGTGATAAATATTGGGATACCCGGTAAGTAGCGGGACAGAACTGCAGTACGATATAAATATATAACATAAAACAAAGATAATGGAACTTTAAATTCATATTCTCTGGTGATAAATAAATCTTCACCTGCATAGTAATCCAATTCCCCAATCTATATTTAGAAACTTCGATGAAACGACTGAAACTCGACTTAAAATTTTCACTGAAAGGAAGATTTAATTTGTTTGAATATGGAATATCTAATAGCTTATATCTTAAAGGGATTTCATAAATTCCCGTTCAAAGAATTCAAATCATCATAAATACTATCAAACCTTTATACAAGTTCTTGTTTCGGATTTCCTTTATAGAATACAGATACTCAAATCAAGCCTCGTATCATTACTGTATTGTGGCAACGCACTTTGAAAAAAATACGCAATTTGAAAAGAAAAATTTCAAAGTACGTAATGACCACAGGCCTTCAGATCGCTTTGATCTGACCGACATGTATGAAAAATTTTTTTATACATGTCGGTAAGATCAAAGCGATCTGAAGGCCTGGGGTTATAACGGACAAAATCGGATTTTTTTCCAAATTGTGTCAAATCTGGGACAAATCAACGCAATTTGAAGATTATTTTTACCATAGAGTGATTAGAATCACAAAACAAACTTTGTAAAATATGCATGAAATAAAATTGATGGTCTTAGATTTTAGCAATAGAGAGTATTATTATCTTCATGTATGTCCTTTCGAAGAAAAAAAAAACAAATGAATTCAACTCTCATCGAAAAAGAAAAGAGGACAGGTAGAAGGACCTTCAGCTCATTTCTTTATCTTACCTACCCAAAGGTACGTATTCATATTTTTCTCCACATAAAGTTAAATTTATGGAAAAAAAAATAATCTTTTTTTTTCTTTTTTCTTTTTTTTAAATACGCACGCTAATGAATAATTGAACCAAGAGAAACGCGGGGTCACAGATCGCTGATCTAAGCAACAATAGCTAATCGTCTAAAATTTGGTATAAGTTACTTTACAAAATCAAATACAACTAAAATTAGTAAAAATAATATAAAATGCATAAATTGATTAAGCAGTTGTCTATGATACAAAGTAAAAATCTAGAGATAAATTCTTGGCGAGGAATGGTTCTATAAAGTTTAGGAAGATAATCCATTTTGATGTTGCTTACTTTATGTGATTTTAGATTCTAAAGTGACTAATTTAGAATCTCCATTTGCTGTACAACACTTCCAGAATATAGTGTAGCATATAGTACATCCTAAGTTCCTCTTTTACAGTACTATTTATTTATTTATTTCTGTGAGAAATAAAGAGCACAAAGTCTTGCTAAAGTTCTTTATAAGAACTTTTTATTAGGTTAGAGCTAAATTCTAAACATCATTCCCTGATTCCTACAAACAGTCTTTATTCAACCATGAGTTCTTAGCTGCTTTTCTTGCAGAAAATGGACCAAATTGAATTATAAAATTTCCTCCAACAAAGTTCATGCGAAAGAGCAGTAGATCTTTTTTGATATTGTTGGCGGTGACTTCAACTTTTCAATCGCCGACTTCTCTTAATGGTAATAGTATTATACCCTTACCACAGGCATATGGGGTTTATGTTTCTCAGTTTAATCTATACACGAGAGTATGATCTAAGTAAGAGCTATTTCTAAATTAGTCAAGGTATTGACAAACAATTTGATAAATCAAGAATACCAACGGTCTCGTTTTAAGTCCCATAATTGCACATGTTCTTTTGTATATAGCAAATTATTTTATTTTATTTCCTTATCACGTAGGAGGATGTGACCGGTGTCGGCAGGGGATGCTCACTTCTCCATGGCACCCGATCCCACCTTTGATGCTTTAAAGGTCCGTGTTTGCTCTGTTCCTGATTTGAAGTGTTTGAATGGATTGTTGAGCTTGAATTCTGTTCATTATCAATATATATTTCACCCTAAATTGTTGACGGCTTTTTTATGATCAATGTTTATAAAATAATGGTATATGGGGTTTTTTTTTGGGGGGGGGGGGAGCAAAATATGTAATGCATACGCCACTAAAGACACTACTACTTTATAGATAGTCAGCTAAAACAACAGATTAACACATTTTTTACCTTGCATCTGCTATGTCTTTATGACATTTTAATTATCAGATTTTGACCGTTTTCTGACAGATCTTCTAAAGGTCTGTAAAGATTTTCACTATAATTAAAAAATAAAACGTTTTCTAAAATTCGATGTACTTGAACAATAGACAAAAATAAAGATAAAAAAGATCAAATCATTCTTCAGTTGTTAATAATTACATTAGATATATGTTTTTATAGATTCAAAGATATGGCAGTATATGCATTATTCCTTTATTCAGCATCAGACGAGTGAAAATGGTTTGTCAAGTGTCAACTTTAATAAAACGTTTAAAAGATCAAAGATTTAGACTGTGATTTATATCACGATGGAAATTGATGCACTAAAAATCTTAAATGAAGTCGTGAAGGTTAAATTTATGATTAATGTTAAATTGATATGTTTGACTTAAAGTAATGATTCTTGAAACATAAAATGTCCTTATCTTATTTTATAAATGTAAATAAGTGTAATTCTAGCAATTACTTCAAACAAAACTTACATCCTGAGAATGATTCCAGCATTCAGCATCAGACAAGTGTAAAATTATTTGTCAAAATATAAGCGTCAACTTTAAGAAAATATTTTAAAGATCAAAGATTTAGACCGGATTTATGTGCACATTGAAAATTGATGCTATTAAAATCATGTAGTCATAAAAATTAAATTTATAATAAATGTTAAGCAAGTTTAAAAAGGTCGCATTCCTTTTTATTTTTCATATGCAACTCGTTTAATTGTTCTTATCACCTTCTTGCACTGATTCTTACAGAGAATAATTTTTAAGGGTGCAAATAGACCAACGTTTTTTAAGCCAATGAAAAGAAAGATTTAAGTAGAATTTTGTTAATTTTTAAGCTTATGAATTCTAAAACCTAACATGCATAAGTATTTCTAGGGGTAATTTTTTTTTCCAATGTAAACTTTTTGCCCTACTAGTAATGATCAATTATAAATTATCGTAGGGTGAGTTAAAAAAAATAGTTAGTATAGAATTCAATTTTTTGACACAATTTAACTGTTCATATCATACCTTTAAATTATCTAACCACACTCTATAGGTAACCCTATTAAATCTCTGATGAAGTGATAATAGAAAAAAAGGCATAAAAAAGTTTTCAAATTTTTATTTGAAAAAAATCACATCCTAAAAGTATTTTAAAATCCATATTCAAAACAATAATTTTGAAATGATCGTTTGTTATCTTTTTTTCTTGCATTCTTTATGTCTGATACGTTTAATTAACAATTATTTTAAAAAGATTTTAACACCCGCGTTCTCACACAAAGTTTATAAACCAGTTTATCGTTGAATCTATCATTGAGTCAAATACTGACTGACGTTTTTCATACCACTCGTAAGACAATTACTTACACACTTAATTGTCTACGTATTTTTTTTTTCGATCATGACAATGAGCACACTTCGTGTGTTTCTCGAAGGGGTTGCTTACTCCTCCTTGTCAACTGATCCCACCTCTGATGTTTCTGAAGGTCCCTTTGCTCTACTCCTGAGTTGTACTGATGAGACATATGGAAATACGAACAGTATTCAAGATCAAAAGTCCATAAAACAATATAAAATAGGAACAGAGCAAACACGGACCTCCAAAACATCAGAGGTGGGATCAGGTACAATGGAGGAGTGAGCATCCCCTGCCGACCGGTCCCACCCGCCGTGTGCTCCTTGTCATGATCAGGTAACAACGGAAAAATCCATCGTCAAATCAGTGTACAAATAATGGACTAACAATTAGTATGAAAAACATCAGTCAGCATTTGACTCAATGAAAAATTGTATTTGCTGACAAGGTCATTGTATCTACCAAAGAACTTACGAAATGGTGACTTTAAACGAGACTGTTTATATTCTTGTTTCATCAACTTGTTTTGTTTAATTTAGAAATTGTTCATGCGTAGAGCATGCTCTTGCGTATCGAATCAACTGAGGTATATAAACTCCGTATGCAGGTGATGAAGGTAAATTGCCGCATAGGTAAGGGAAGTTGACGATAGAACAGTTAAAGCCATCACGTTCATCATAGAGCTTGGTTGTTAGATTACCATTAACGTCTTTTTCAAGTAAAATATCCAAATAT